AAATTTAATTTCTCTTCTTGAGTGCAATAGTACACAATTGATCTTTCTTCACCATATTTAAACAAACTTTTTGGTCCATTTGAGGGCACCATGCCACCTTAACACCTACCCGTTTCACAGTTCATCCCGGTAAATCCTCCGGGACACAAACACTGAAAAAGGTGTGGCGTCAAGGAAAGGCAGGTAGCATTGTTTGGACATGGACTCGATGAACAGCCATTCTACATAGAAAATAATTTCAGTAAATTACAAAAAGGATTTATTTCACGGTCTTTATACTCCTTTACAAGGTTTTAATAAAAATGTTGCTTTAACTTAGGTAATACGTTTTAAGAGAGAGGGAGAGAGATATCCTTTGTCAAAGCCTTGCGAAGAGACCAATATATTGTGAGCATCAGTTAAACAACAGCGTTTGAAAAGTGACAAAAATGATAATTTAACATACGTCCGCATCACATGCATAATTGAACTACTGAGGAAAGTTTGTGTTTGCTCCAAACTTCCCTACCTCCAGTTCTTCATTATGCCATTGACTTACAAGGGAATCAGAAATATCTTTCTTCCTTTCTTTTCTATAGTATATAAATACGACTATGAAAGGAGTTCTGGCTTTAATCTTTCTCTATGTCTAGTTTATCATCAACCAAAGCAAAACTCAATTAGAACACAAATTGATGTTAACAAATACCTCAGTCCCTCTGTATATGTAACCAGGCATGGGAACAAAATCTTCGGGGTGTCGGATGTGATCCGAGTTGATGAGCTCACACGCGCGCCCATTATCCTGATAGGGTCCCAAGTTGTACAAAGGCACTCCACTTCCAGGTAACATCTTATCTCGCATTGGTCACCGTCTTTTACCCGCACCGCTCTAATCACATGACCAACCAGGACTTTGTCAGTGACGGGATGCAAGTAGCTCAACTCTCGGCATGTATCTGGAAACACAAACTCTGTTCATTGTTCAAAATAACTGCATTTGTATAATTTTTGAATATTTAGACTCCGATCAATGGATTAGAATGCACCTAGATTCTTTTTACACGAGATGACAGTTTCTCGCGCACTATGCAAGCCTACAGCCTCTCCTCGCACACACGTTTATTTCTCGAACGATTCTGGTGGTTCTTTTAGACCTTTAACAATTAGTTCGCAAGATGTTGCGGCAAAAACTAATCAATACCTGATGGAAACCAAGAAAAGCTGTAACCAGTCTGAGTACAGAGGGTGAT